TCTCAACTTTATTTTTAGAATTACTTGAAAATAAAAAAGGAAAACGAGTGAGATTTTCTAAAAGAAATACTTCGCAACACGGTTGATGATTGGCTTTTGTCTATCAGTGAGCCAGTTATGAGAAACACATGTGGTTCTGTGAGGTACAATAAAGCACTGAACACAAAATAGCAGGAAAAGTAATTTGCAAGCTTGTATACATACCCAAAACATCTGGAAAGGGAGAGCATTAATGAAGCAAAGAATGGAAAAAGCCAAGACAATCAGGTTCTTGTACAAAGCATACAGCATGAGGTAAGGTTATAACAAGTGTAACATACACAGAAACAACAAGAAAAGGTTTGGGTCCCTTTGATGGAGAAATGCAGCAAAAGCACCAAGCTGGTTCAGCAGTTTATGCAAATGGCATGTGTGCATATAGAAATTTAAACCAATTGGGACTGCTTTTCAGGTGAATGAGATTTAACCATGTTCTGTACCTTCTTGGAGAAAAAAGTATTTTCAAAATTACAGTTTTCTTCTAGGCTTTTAATGAAGTTAATCAATTGCCCTTTCTTTAAATTTTGTTCAAACTTTTAACATATTAAAAATATAACAATATTGACAAGCCAACATCTCTCTTTATATACAAAATAAATTTTCATATAGGAGAGAAATAAGACTGTACTGTCCTCCTAAATCTTTATGAGCCAGACACTATTTTTATAAAATTCTTGGACACATTAATTTTACACTAGAATACTTAGTGAATGACAAATATTCAGTGGTAGCATTGGTTTCCAATGAGTCAAATCCCAAGTCTATTTTTAACTGATTCCTTTACAGAGGCAAACTTCCAGTCGATAGCTCTGTGTAGCATCAAGCCCATTGAGACGTCTCTATAATCCTGTAAATCCAGTTCCTCATGCCAGTTCCTGCACCACAGCTTCACATTGTTTGTCAATGCCTCCTCAAAATTAATTCTGGTTTAGCTATTCAGTTCCAAATAATGGCACTCATTGAGCTGTTTACTGTGCTATACTCAATTATGAACAATATGATCAAGACTGCAAACCTATACTGGGTGATAAGGTAAGAGTTATTCTCAAAAAGAGGTTCATTTATTTCCCAGAAAAAAAGTAGCCAGTGTTAATATATCAAGCCCATTACCTTTGTACTATATCAACTCATTGATAGAACAAGAGCCACATGAAAAGAACTTATATTAAAAAATAGCTTACATAAAAACCAACAATATATTTTCAGAAGTCTAAGAAATAGCCTTCTCCGCTGCAGTTAGAACTGCTGCTCACAAACGGGAGCAGAGTTCAGGGACAAATCAGTGACTGACCGTCCAGCTGCATGAGGTACCACTATGCAAAGGAGGGTGAGCAAGGAATAGCTTCCCATTGAATCTCCAAAGCAGGAGGCATTTGGATTAACATATAGCAGTTCTGGGGAGCTACATATGCTATAATAAAAAGCTGGTTTTAAATGATACGAGATCTGGAAATAAACACATGGGTCTCAGTCCACACATTACTGACTGCTCAAGGAAGAGAGAGACAGACAGCAACACATCTCCCCCATGTCCCACAGCCCTGCAGCCAGAGACCCGCTTAGAGCAAAATGAACTAAACCCTGTTTTTCATTAACAAGATCAAATTTTATTGCTATAAATACCATTTTTAAATATCTGGACCAGAACTGGATAGTCTGTAGGATGCTCTGTACTGCCAGTACATGACATCAGTACTGATCTCAGAGAAGGGGAAAATTCTTTGAGCTAGGATGGGAATGAAAAGACTGGCTCTGCAGTTAAACGTCTGCAAAGAAGAGAGCCATAAGAGGCATTCTGGGGAATGAGGAGCCATAAGGCTGGTATTTCACAAGGCACCCAACAGTAGCACCTTCTTACTACTACTTCCTAACCTTTATTTTGCACAACTTGAGTTTGTAAACCTAGTAATATTCTTTTAATAGCATTTTTTGTTGACTTACAGCAAATTCAGCACACAAAGAGAAAAATTCCACTATATGATGTAATATTGCCACTCACCTCTGCTACTTGAGCCGACTAAATACTCACAGCAGTGGTGTGTTGTCATCTTTGTGAACCACTGCTAGAAGAGGCCACCCACTAGCAGGCTACAATGATATTTTCTGATTCTGACACTATTTCTACCTTGAAGTACATTGCAGGCAAGTCAGGGAACAGGCTGTAACACTCCTTGTATTTTTTTTTTTAATTCGCCCTTGCACAAGGGTTTTCCCATCACCTTAGAAAAGCAGTTCCCTTTTCTGACACCACGTTGTTCTATCCTACCTCAGTTTTCCTCCCAACCCAACATAATTTCCCTCCCCAGCTTCCTTCCTGGCTGGTTTTTGTCCTCCTATGGTTTAACCCATGTGTGGAGCACAGACCCTGGTGGTACTTCACCAGTGGGTTCAACTATCTCAGTTTCTACTCCCTAACTCCAACCTTCTCCATAATGGATTTTCACTTCCTGCCTTACTCTCTTATCCCAGCCACCTGCTTCTCCAGTTGAACACCTTTAAAGTACACCTTTTACTCCATCCTCCATGCTGCACAGCAAAGCAGAGATCGGAAGCTGAAAGATGAGCACATTTCTGCTTTAGTTCTCTTTGGGTGCCCCGATGCAGTCTGCTGGGGGCAGGTTCTGCTCAGCATCATTGGTGGACCTTGGCAGTGAGTGCTGAGTCTTTAAGCAAAGGTGCAAAGCTTAGCATGTCTTGAGAGCAGCTTCTAATAATTTGGTCAAATTTTTTCATTATTTATAAAAAATGTTCAGAAACATGTAACTGAAATACTGTTCAAATCACCACTGAATTTCAAAACCCTGCTAGATTATTAGAAGTATAGGAGTATTACAGTTTCTGAAACAAAAGGTTTTAAGAATATTTTAACATAGGTAAAATTAATGTTTGCCCCACCTTCATTGTTATGACCTAGTTGCTCTAACTAATACTTCCCAAGATAATTCAAACTTATTTTATAAATCAGTTAATATTTAGAACAATTATAAGCGACTGAAAATCTGATTTATAGCAGGAAATCTTAGGTAATAGTAATAGGCCTGTTACAAAAACTACAGAGATATATCTATCTATGCATATATTTACATATATACATAATCACTATCATGTTTTGGGTGTCTCCAACTGAGGTTCTGTCAGAACTTCCATTTTAAATACCTCTATCAAAAAATTACCTTGACCCAAAGAGAAGATGTTGATGCTTTTAAGGGTAAGGTTACCATGAGATAAAGATGTACGTGATTTGGCTGCATTTATTTTTTTCTAGTTTTTTTTTCTGTATAAGTTTTTGTGATAGCTGTTTAACACATATGAAAATATTTTAGAGTGAGGAATAGATGATACCCTTTCTACTTTATATTTCTGTAGTATTGCATAAAATTGCACGTGTTTTGATGTTATCGTTGGAAAGTTAATGACCAAGGTTCTGTTAGTTCCACAAGTGGGTGACCTTCATCTTTATTAACAATTTTCAGTTCTATTCAAAACAAAGGACACTAAATCTTTTTATTAGGTTACTAAATAGACTTCGGTGACAAGACTAAAATTCACATAGAAACATATTATTGTGTGTAAAGATGTTCATTGCATTGTTACAGTACATTGCACTTTGATATTTGAAAACACTCAAATTAAGACATACTTGGAAGCTACCACACTACTTGCAAACAAAGATTCACAGCCTCCACACAGCTGAAAGAAAGGGTTTTAAGAACCAAATTTTCAAGAAAGGTAAGTCAAACATTTTAAGGCAGAGAAACTCATTCTAAGGATAGCTATATCAGGCAAATGTTAATTACTCTGTCAAAGTACAGGTGTACTCAGGATTTTTGTTATGAAACTGATAAAGAACCCATTTAGTAGGATGAATAAGACTCTTCTCCTGTTCCACAAATTTTACAAAATTTCAAGATACAATGCTGTGTTCAGGGCAAACTAAGCTCTCTCAAAGGCTATTAAGAGAAATTCTCAGCCTTGAAAAGACAGAGATCTGTCTGGAGCATTCACCTGCAACCTATGACATTTGACCTCAAGTTCCTCCTTTCTGTATTTGAGCAGGGACTTGAACTTGGATGTCCCATATCTCAGCTAGGTGCCCTAACAGTAATACATAGACCTCTCATAGGATTCCTCTCAGCTAATTCCAGGTGGCCCTACATAGGGCATGAGCCAACTGCAACAGTGGAGTCACTGGTAGAGGAAAGGCTGAGGTCAGTCCACATGAGCTGAGACTCCGAAGTCACCACCTTGTCCTGTTTACTCTAAGGAAAACTGGGAATAACAAGCTCCAGCGTAACCACCTATACTGTAGATGGTGACATTTAGTTTAATCCTCTCAGCTGAACTTGTTTTTCTTTCTGGCTAATAAATGTTTAATTACTTATACAGCTGGACAAGCTTGAGTACAAAAAGACTGATGTAAGATGACAGATACGCATGCTATGAACCTAGCTACATAATTTTTTAAAAATGTCTCCCCTTTTCCATCCTTCATTTTTTTACCACCCTCAGCATTAGTTTAAATGGACATTACATTCAGAAAAATTGTACTTCAATAATTTTTTCAGGTCTAATATCAGTAGCTATCACTACTAGTAATCTTATCAAAGATAACGCATAATTTCAATAATATCTATATAATTTCAGGTATTCTGAAACCATCACTTCTAATTAATCAGAAGAAAACATTTCTTCAGATTTTATTTACTTTATGGATGGCTACTTCTCCCCACTGAGGCCAACAACAAAACATGAAAACAACACAAGCAGGATAAACTAAAATCAGCGCTATATGAAGTTTATCTGGTAGTGATTTTAAAATAATTTCTAGTGCCAGGATTTCTGAATTATGGGAATCGTGATTTTCTCACAGCAGAGAGAAGGCTATTTTTAGCTTGCAGATATGAATTGAGAGTAGTATACTTTACAGCAAATGTGTAGATGGCATCATTATAGGTACTTACCTAAACTTGATCTTGTGTTAGATCGCTCTATTATCGCATGCTTACTGGGGTTGTTTAATACTGAGCGTTTGGCAAGCGAGATGTCTGCTGTAACTCGTGTAATTGATATACTGCAAAAATAAAACACAGAAATAGGACAGAATATTATTTATCTTGCAGGGATGTGGGGAGAAAAAGAGATTTAACACTAGAAGATGGCTAAGACTACAGGAAAACAAGTTTTCCTCAGTAGCATAGTGTGCTTTGCACAATATGAACAGAGAAGAAACTTACCCAATACTGTTACAAGAACCACTGATAAGACATCTCCCTTTCTGCACAGTTCCACTGACTGCAAAGCTACATGTGTCTGGGGAGAGGGAAGGCAGGAGGAGGTCAGAGATGTGTGGCAAAAGATGGGAGTTCACTTGGGGCTCCAAGCCTGATGTGTTAGACTTTGCACCAGTATCCCCAGTATGAATAGTCTGGTTTCTCCTTTCCCTAATTTTAAATAATTTTTTGAAAAGCACTAAATGACAACCTGGCTTACCGTCACCATATGTGCCGGACATACAGGGATTTGTAGAGTTAACAGGTAAAGGTAAGGCTTATCAGGGAAACTAGTACAGTCATATAACTCTTATTTTTACTGTCCAGTTTACTAGCATACATCTTTTAACAGAGTGTGAGAGTTACCTATAATTTTCCAGAAACATCCAGCAACTACACTGGCCACCCAAAAATGTGGACTGCAACACAGAAAAGCAAGCAAATGAAAACTCTAGGCTGAGTATCTGGCAGGCTCAGTTTTGTGTTTATGAGAAAAGATGAGCCAAGAAAGAAGTGGTTACTTCCAGCTGCTTGCACTGACCTGCTACATAACCTTCTGCATATTCTTCTTCCTAGGAAAACAGTTAATTCTGTTTTGATTTACAGAGTCAAAATGCATCCTCTGGATAAACTCCCTTCCAAGCTCTCTGGTCTAAGGAGGTTTAGGGGTGACATTTTTCCAGTGCTGAGAATTAAAGCAGATTGATATTCCCTTGTTCTTCCTTGTATGATTTTACTTGCAGTTTAAAAGGAGGAAATGGATTTGCTAAGAGGGAGGGCTCCTCTCTAGATGCTGTTCATCTGAACTGTAATCTAATAGGTAATTTCCCAATGAGCTCAACATATACATATTTATCTAAAAATGTATCCATAAAATGTATCAAAGCCAGAAGCTAATACAGAAAATACAGAAAAACAGAATTATTTGCACAAAACTGATTAGTAATATAATTTTGGAAATTTAGGCATAATTAAACTTAAGCTAAAAACATAACCAAAGATTGTGATTTCTGGCACAGCTCCTCACAGCTAAAATGAACTCCAATGTGTAATTTGTGTACTCATTAGTTATCTTTATTTGCTAACTGTTTAACACTACAAACTTTCATAGCTGCTTTTTTTGTTTTTCATTTTCTTTCTTCCCTGGCAGTCTTCCATCATACATGCAACAGAAAATATTTTTTTCTCTTTTTCAAATGCAATTATGGCATCTTGAACAAAGATAGATTTATCAGTCTGAAAATGTGATTTTAAATTTTAAGATCTTTTAAAGTCTTTTTAAGGCCATTTTACTGTCTTTTGAGATATGTAACACCAGGAAGAACAAGTCTGGTCTCAAAGCAAAGAGTATGTATGTTTATATAGCAAAACAATTGCCATGAAAGTGGGGACAGCTTCACAGCAGAGTGGCTGTGAAAGCCGCAGTAGGAACCTAAGAACCTCCTGTACAACTTTGTTGAGGACCTTGAGTACCAATTCAGATTGCTACTGATGTTTGGCATACTTCAAATCTGCTGCTATAGATATAGATATCAACTGTATTAGGAATATTTGTGGATTCACCCTGCCACAATTGGATCTACAACTGAAAATTAGATATGCTCTAAAATACTTTAAGACATAAAGATGGAACATTTTTTTTTCTGCTTGCAACACTCATTATTTTGTCAACTTCCAATTCTGAAGGTGCATATCCAAGCTTTGACAACCCTGACTAGTATAAAAAGGGACTACTAAGTGGTTAGGTCTCAACATCATCATTCTGACTGAGAAAATCCAACAGCTTAAACAACGTCTGGTATTTTAAAGAGCTAAAGCTATTGACAGGAAACCTCAAGCTCCCTCTTGAAAGTTTGACAGCACCAGGACAGACAGAATAGCATTACTGCTCTGCCCACTTCCAAACTAAATAGAACATTCACTGAAGTTACAGATACTGTAACAAAACCTTCCCATTTTTTCAATTTCCACCCCCAAATGCCAATCCACTAGCACATATTAATCTGGGGGCTGATCCAGTAGCAATATAATCACATGTGGAGAATCCACCTCATGTCTCTGATCTGTGGGTCCATGATATTTGAATTACAGAACATGCTTTTAGAGATGGATTATTATTTGACATTTGTACTACAGTAATGCCTGGAGGCTCAAATACAAATCAGATTGGACCTTGCTGAGTGCGCTGTGGGGGACAGGCTGTAATTGCTCCCAGATCAAAGCCCAGTGAAGCGCAGCCTGTCTGCTACCAAGGGTGACCACATTTCAGGAAGATGGGGGACTGACCTTTCCTCTAGTGCTCCTTTTGAGACTTCCCATTATACAGTCCAGCAGTACTGTAAAACCTAGCTCCCAGCTTGAGGGATCCTGAGTTTGACAATCATGTACATTAGATAGTCTGAATCTCCTATCACTGTTTCCAAGTTAGATGCCACTGTAAGCAACTATTGCTGAGGTGGAATGATGGGCCCTCATCAGCTTGCATAGAATCCAGGATGCATTGATGAGATATCACTTAAAATACTTAAATAAATGATTTTTTTAATAGTACACATTTATCAAATTTGAAGATAAATATCTAGCAATTCTGCTAAGAAAGTACTACAAGTCCACTGAACAAAGAATTAGTTGCCATTCTTAATCTTCTACACATACTTTGCTAAGAATGTTATTATTTCTTAAAAACCTGGTAGTACCTAAACAGGACCTGAGGTCAAGTAGATTTGCACCACAAAGTACTTACCGCCCTTCGAATCTATGTTTTAAAAAATCAAATAATGCTTTTTGCATCATATCTGTTACCTAGAAGCAAACAAACAACAAATTAATAATCACATGAGAAACTCATAATAATTGATGCTAATAATAATATGTAAAAAAGTTAACAGTAAATCTTATATCTGAGTAACATGATTGCAATGTAAGTAATTTATTCTTAACATGAATCCTGATATGAAAGCAGGCACCTGGTAGAAGTAAAAACTGCCTATATTTTTGTCTATTATATAAATTATGTAATTCAGCTTCATTACATTTGAACATTCAAACACAAATGAAGCAAAATATTTTTAGCAAGATAAAATTACTCACAACAATCACTTACCTCATATCCCTTCAGAGAAGGACCCACTAAAACTACTGGTCGCATAGAAGGCACTACATCATAGGGAGGGATGTGCTCTGTCTGCGAAACAGAGAAAGCTTTCAGCATCACAGCACCTACAGAAAGCTTACACATTACTTACAATATTAGGAACTCTGAATTTCCAGTGATGTCACCAACACAGGAATCATTAATTTATTAACTTTTCCCAAAAACTGGTAGTACCAGATAAGGACATAACAGGTTCAGGGATTTATTTTGAAAATCCTTTTCTTCAACTCTTCGTTTTCCTCATATTTTCATATTTGCTTTGGAAAGCTACAAACCTGTTACTCTGGAGACATTCACATGTCTCACTGTAAATCCTATCTAGTTAATTGAAAAGGTTATTTCCAATAGCTAATGATTTGAAATGTTTGACTCTAGAGCTATGATATATGTTTCCAAACAAAATTTTACATAGGCATATTATGAAGGAGAAAAATAAAACAAAAAGGGAGAGGAAAAGCATAACACATCTCTTATTATGTTCAGATTTGCCCACTGCTGGAGAAAACATTGTGACACCACTGCAAATTCCCATGGGAGCATTCATAGCCCGACTTACACATCTGCATCCGCAATTCACTTGCAAATCAAATAAAAATAATGACTGATGAAGTTAGCATTTATAGAAAATTTTCATAAACAGAGCTTGGGATAGCAATCCTTCCACTTTGGGAAGTTCCCATCACCACCCAAGAAAGGATTCTGTTAGTACAATATTCACCAAACTACTTACTGATGTATCATGGAAGATTTATAAAAACCATTTTAAAATACAAAGATAAAAAGATTGCCTTGCTTCCAAAGACTGCAAAAATTTTTGTATCATTAACAAAAAATATATGAACAAATTAAACTGTTTGCTTTTTTCTTTAATAAATGGCTATTCAATATATATCACAAAGAATGAGTCTTATCAGAAAGAGTTTTTCGTTTGTAAGGGAACGTTTGGTTTATCTTTGTCTTGGGGGAAAAAATGATTGAAAACCAAACCCAGGAATGTGTGGGTGATATGGGAAAAGGTATGCCAGATCTATTTTTCAGATGCCTGCATAGTACAAATACATCAGTCAAGATCACACAATACAGTCATTGTTTGTTGTTTCAGTACTCAACGTATCCCAAGGTTTTTCACAATAACATGAAAATAAGTATATACATTCCAAAACACAAAAACAGAAAGACAGACATTAATACAGTGACAGCACAAAATGCCACACAAGCAGCAGTCTAAAGCAGTCTCTAGAACATGGAAAACATTTTTGTGAACGTTTTCAATGTAATTTATCTTATTTTTTTGTTATCTGTAACTTCACCAGATAATTAGTAACATAAGAATGAATACTAGTGCCCAAGGCATTATAAGCATGTGAAATTAGTTTATTTTACACAGTGCAGAATCTGACTCAACACATTTCAAAGCAAAACCCTGCAATTATGCTATGCCAGTATCAAAATGCAACCCTCCAGTGTTCTTGATAACTAATAATCTGATAAGCATATTAGAGACAGATCCTAAGAAAATTTCATTACAGACGTGTGATTGCTTGTAGCATGAGTGTCCTGATGCAACAGATCTTTGTCTTAATGTGGCTGGCTCAACCAAAAGTATTCATGCTAGAAGTTAACCAGCTATTTGAAAATTAGAAAAAGCACAGAAATTAACTTATTTGATGGAATATGGGGTATTGTAAAAATCTGTTATGTCAAAACAGGCATTTTTTTCCCTCTAATCTTCACAGCTTGAAGTAATGAAGCTGTCAGCAGAAAATTGAGCAAAAGTTATCTATGCTTCTAATGGAAGCATTGACGTTCTTTAATTTAGAATCAGATAACCTAGTATTTTCTAAGAGACTGGCATTGAGCTTTACAGCTTTCACTTGCAGATTCAAGTTCCAATATGAACTTGGAATAAAAATTAGCACAGCTTTGACCATACGGCTTTTGCTCAGTGGTTTGACAATGTATGATTAGTTTGGGATGCCACACAGTATTTACTGTATATGTCAGTATTACAAAAAACACTATAACTAGTAATGGTTCTGCTATGAAAGAAAAAAGGCTCCACAGAATGAAGAGCAAGATGAGACTGGCCACCATGCAGGTCCAAGGTGGTTCATCTAGGAGTTGCATCTTTGAAAGATGCTTATGCAGATAGCATCCAATAGATGTCAATATGTATTATTCTTCCTTAGCATTTATACTTGGTTATAAATATGGTTAGATAAGAAATTACTCAGAAGGAAAAAACTGCTGTTGATTTCCAGAGTGGGCTGTGAACGACATGGTACATAACAGACTCTGCTGAAGCAAATATTGGTGACTTTGGAAATGAGAAAAATCCAATATTATTTTAAATAATATTTTAAAGAGAAAAGTGAGAGAAAAAAACTTTTATTTTCTAAATATGAGAGCATCCACAGCAATGGCAACAGTGTCACTTGGCACTGTTTATAAGCACTATAGCAGCCTGTTGTTCCAGTAGATTTAAGTGAGTGGTTAAAACAAAAGGAATAAGAGCTATGAAGACTGAAATTTAAAAGCAAATAATTAGAAATATGGTATTTCACTGCATGGTTTGGCTGCTACCTAATGTCTTGATAACTTATTCTAGCAATGATCCTAGAAACATATAGCAGTTTGCTGTAACAGGATGCCAATTGCATAATTCTGTAGTTATCTGGGTTATCTATGGAGAGACATTGGCTCTCCTGGGAACCACCAGTACCATTTCCAATAGCTGAGATACTAAGAAAGACTGACTGATGGATGGCAGGAACATTTGGCTGATAATTTATACATGACAACAGGAAAAACTCAAAGTAAACTGTCAAAACAAGTCTGCAGTTTTCCACTGGTCTCATTCACCTGCAGACATTGCACCTGGTGAATTAGAAGTTTAAATACTGACTAAATTGACTAATTTTTTCTAAGTCAAGTTTGAGCACCTGGTTAGATTTCAATAATTATTTAAATAGGCTGAGTTATAAGGAAAAAAAACAACTTGAGAAAGATAGAGACAGAAAGAATAAGCATGCACTAGAGAGGTGCATTATATGGATTTGTTAAAAATAAAATTCTCAAACTTTCAGAAGGCCTTCTAAGTATGTCCTGTTATTCCATCAAAGAGAGTAAGTACCGTAGCAGAGTTGCATGGATGCACTGAACTTGGAACTGTTTGTTTTCTTGTACTGAATCCAATAGCAGCTCAATACATTTCTTCCTTAATTCTAGAACAGCTCTATGTTTAATCTGGGGCAATAGTGCTAATGATGCCAGTGGCAGGATAAACACAGGATGTCGATATAAACTTACCGATTTCTGCTTCTGCTTAGCTACAGCAGCATGGAAAAGAAACAAAGAACAACAAAGCATGCATGTTATTGGCTTGTCAAAGGACACAGACAGTTAACAGGACTAGAAATGTGACGCAGTGCAAGTGAGCAGGTGGACAGATGGGAGCTTGGAAGTCGATGTTACCTTCTTAAAGAAGGGCATTCTTTTCTCTTTGGAGTGGGGTGATGTTACACTGTTTGCACTGGGTTTGGGGGAGCGATGGTTTGCTGGAATATCATTTTCTTCTGCATCTAAGCCAGTGGCATCTATATCTATAGCTATACATAGACAAACAATTCAGAATTATCAGATGACAGGGAAACTAAAGGTAGGTTAAAAAGGAAATAACAGGTGAAGAAAAATGAAACTGTCCAGAGTAATAAATAAATAAATAAAATTTAAAAAGTCAACCATGAGTGTAAAACACAATAAAATAAAGGTAAAAAGACAGAAGGTGATCTGTACTGGCTACTATAACATTTTCCTCTGATGCCCTTTTGCACAGCCACATCGGACATACGCAGAAATACTCTTACAAAACAGAGCAATGGCCAAGTTCCTTCTTGTTACACCAGTGTAAACCCAAACTATTTAATTGGAATAGTAAGACTTTCACCAATGTTAAAAAGAAACTTGGAGAATAACATTGGAATTATTTTACAGCAAGTAACACTAATTCAAAATGGATATCACCAACTGAAATTTGAAATGTCATTAGCATGTCTACAGGAAATTAAGAAACAGAAGAAAAATAAGTTTTGAAGACAAAATCAGCCTGATACTGGTACAACAACATGCACATCTCCAAGTAGACTACAACTGGCATTTTTAACCATTTTAACTAAAAATGCACAGTAGTCATAAGACACATTTATTAGAAATAATAAAAACAGACCTACTAACAGTGAAATCTAAAAAGACTGGGTAGCAGAAGAGAGGAAATTCATTCCAGCTTGTCTCAGAGACCTGAATCCTGTTGTAAAGAGTGAGGATGTAGGCAGGACAGAATGGAAGTGAATAAAATGAACCACTGCTGTTCAACCTCTACCCCAAAAGATTACACAGCACACAGCACTTATACCATTAATATAAAATATTTACCCTCCTTAGCAAGTATGTAACAATAGTTTAAGCAAAAATCATCACGGACCCATAAATAAACACGTTTTCAAAATGCAAAGCCATGCTATCCTGAATGCTGAGTCCAACAGATACCTGCTAACTACATCAGAAACAAAACCAAACCAAACTAAACAAAAGCCTTCTTGTTTACAATGCTCAATCCTGATCTTAATTAATGTATTAAATTTGTCTTCAGAAAGCAAGTACATAGACAAAAGCAACCCACAAGCACACTGTACAACATCATCCTTGCGTGTAAAGATCTCACTCGCCTCTTGACACACCCTGGTAACACATGCTTATCTTGCCGTCCCATTATGTCAAACCGAATCCAACTCTAAATAGATCTGTAAGCAATATCATTTGCATTGACTTCAACTAAACCCATAATTAATCACTGCAAACTATTATGAAACCACCTCTGTGACCTGCTTTCAGCTGCTTGATGAGTGGGATATCAACTAATACAGTGGCATGTGCTATTAAATTATGCAACAAATAAATATTTCTGCCAAGCCTATGTGCAGCTACTGAATTAAGAGACACCTGGGACAGTGATGTCCTCTGTTTAAGTAAAGTATATTTTCCCATTTGAATTATCCACAGATCTATTGCCATGACACCTGACAATCCTTGAGTTACAAATTGTGCCTTTGAGCCTGTCCTTGCCAGGAACGCCTGTGAGAAGATCTGCACCCTGTTTCTATACTTCTGCTCCTAAAAACAGCCACAGAAATCACGTAACATTTTCTTCTAGCAACACTGTTCCTTCATCCTCTTCATAAGTATAAAAAGAACACATTATCTCTTTCTTGAATACGGGCCAGCACAGATGCTATAAATCACTCATAATAAGGCATATTAAAACTCCTTCGGTTCTACGTTCAACTAAAACCATCAGTAAAGAAAAATCAAGGTTGTTAGGCTTTTTCCTGTAAAAAAGAAATGCAGCATTTGATCAGCTAGATAACAATGTATCATTTTTCATTCTCAGTTATCACGCTACGTAACATCTTCTAGTTCTTTTATTGTTAATTACCTTTAGTTCATTGGGTTTTTTTCAAAGTAATTTTCACCATTATCCTCATCTTGTTTGGTGGCCCATGAGGACTGTATGGACTGATAACTATATCAATATAATATTGATTATTTAAATGGCTATAAGACTCCTTTTCATTTGTTTTTAACTGGTTCTTCATCCAGTTTGGTTTTTTTTTTTTGGTTGGTTGGGATTTTTTTGTGGCACTAGTTTATATTGAAAAAAATCCTTAACTCAAAGTCAAAAAAGGAAGTTAACTTTTTCAGTTACAATCTCTTCAACTCATTAAATAATTTATGAATTTGTCATTTATTATACTTTCAAAACGAGGAGGCCAGGGAATAACAGTTGAACTGTATTTCAAAGTCACTTGAGTTCTTGTGTTAGTCACCAACCATGCCTCTTTCATCCTTCTTGGGATGTCTTCCCAAGCAAATCTTAAGATCACAGAATAAGCTAATGTACACTATAAAGAAATATTCACCAAATCTTCAATGCAGCTGAATAAATTTAACCACTTTCTTCTTTCTCCAGAAAAACAGGTTTCTGAAAACTACTGTCTGAACAAATGACTCAATTAAATGAAAACTACAACATCACTAGCAACCAGGCAGATGCTGCCCATTCTCTAAATTCTGTACAACAATTTGTACTGCAAAAACACCATCATTGAAAAAGCAAGCCTTAACAGTAAATATAACAGTTCAAAGCCAACATAAAATAAAAGATTAAGGCCTGTTCTACAGACTTGTGATGGACACATATTAGTAAACTAAAAGTATATTGTCCAAAAAAATAAAAAATGGAGCTAGGGAACTTAAGTAGAATTTTGCTAAACAAACTGAAATTGTAATACAGTTGGTTGTTACAAATAAATTCATGGCTTCATAAGACAGACAGATATATTTTTCAATCAATTTAATCAAATGATTCTACTACCATAACTTGATTGAATTCCTCCTTCCCTTAATGTCCATATAATACTTTAAGATTGTCAGGATAATTTTAACATGCCTGCTCTGTAGACCAGGCTCCATATAGACTAATATAACTGGAAAATACATGTCTTTGCCTCAGTAGAGAAGGCACTAGCAGCATTTATTAATATTTTCTGATTTTGGGAATTCAAAACGTGCATTTTCTCTCTCAGGAGAAGATAAAACATCCAGCAACACAGCAGCTGAATTTAGTTGTTTGGGGTTTTTTTAATCTTCTGCTACACTTTTCTCAAGGAGCTAATGCCAGTTTCTTGCACCAACTCGCCATGCATTTGCTTCATACCTCTTGCATCCAGCCTAACTAAAGCTAAATCTGTCTGCTGATGTTTTAAGTACAAAACAGTATTGGTGAAAAATTTGTCATAAAAGGAAAAAAATGTCCATTATGCTAGCATTATGTGAAGCACATCCTCATTACCAGAATTTTGAACCTAGAAGTTCCTGTTATAAAATAATGCCATTCTTGATGCTACTGCAGAAACCTTTCAGGAGTTTTTACTCTTATTGCTGCATTTTCTCCCATACCAGAAGGTACTTTTGTTCAGC